TTTGTTTCAAAAACGCATTATCTCAACTGAAAATATATTGAAAATATATTTGGGGTATTCAAAACGTATGTGTCGTATTGTTGTATATCGTAAACTTTAAACGCTTTAAAAACATATTAAGGGGTTCGAAAAGTACCATAAAAGCTATATTATGAATTTTCGTAGTGTTGAAAAACAGTTGGTCGTGGTTTAAAATTCAATAAACGTTTATTTGAGCTTTTAATGTTTACGACATACAACAATACGACACTTACGACACCGTTGTGAATCCCTCAATTTTGTTTTTGAGCCGAATTCCGAAATAGTGCATTCTTCAATCAAATTCTGAGATAGGGCGTTTTTGAAAAAATGTCTGAGCTGAGTAGGGCATTTTCGGACCGGCTGCTGAGATAGGTAAATCTACAACTCAGCCGTCGATATGTAATTTCCACTTTTTTACATACTTGCATTTGTAAATACATATATACATTGCAGAATATTTCCACAGTAACGGCCTAGTTTGTTGGATAAAACAACGGCGTTAGAAAGTACATATTAGGTAATGCATGCACGAACATACTATGTACGTATGTATGTATGTATATAAACGCAAAATCGTTGTCAAACAATCGACATATATAACTTTTATGGTTATTTACAATTTTAATTTGAGCCAAAATGCGCTTTTAGAGTTGAATATGAATTCATTGTTAAAAGCATTTATATTTTTTCAATTTTATTTTAAAGGTGGTACATATGTATGTATGTATCAGAAGTGTGTTTCATTATCCTAATTAACATGACCCATTCAAATGTTTGCTTGAATGTACTGTGATATCGTGATCAGAAGTAATAAATGCGAATGTACAATATGAATGGGCGACTCCTGCGAGTAGTAGTGCCGCTACAACAACAACAACTCCTGCGAAAAGTCTACCGTGTAAAAAAAAAAATAAAAGCCCTATATGTATCTAACTTATTTATAGGCCAATTTGGCGGCTTCTTTCTAATATATATTGCTTATGTAAGCAGATCCATTTTTACTGAAAATGGCCTCTTTAGGTGGCGCCAGGGTCGAGATATTTTGAGAAACCATATTTATGCTCTGATTTGTCTCACATTTGGCATGTTTAGTTGAAACGTAATAAGACATAGATTTGCAAAAAATTAAACCGCTGGTGACGCTGATGTCAAAAGTAGTACGTTTCTTCCCGTTAAAAATTCGATCATGAACAATATTAACAAAACTTTTTTAAATGGATATCTTTAGTAACGTACCGCAAGGTAACGTCAC